TTGTGTGGGGGTAGGGGCCATCTTGTGTTTACAAACACTTTCACTGGACTAATTCATTAGGTGGTTCTTATCGCTAGTGTGACTGCGCGCGTAGACAAGTGGTGGCAACGAAAACACTATTCGGGGAGGGGGGGGGGGGATCCAAGTGTGTCACTAGCATAACATTGGTTCAGATCCTGCCTTGCAATTGCGAGTGTCTTCATCCTCATGTTATCCTTTTTCTTTTCTTTTTTTTTTTTTGCCATGTGGGAGTAATTTTATTAGTTTCTAACACGTAAGTACTGGTGTATCTATGTATGCAATTGACAGTACAAGGGTAAATTATTTAGAAAGATAAAATAAGATATATATTTCTCAGTCCGTTCTTTCGATATTTATTTTGCTCAATATTTTTGTGCTTTGATAGTGAGTCTATAGGTAAACTATTTGCACGAATTTTATGCCTATCTATCTTATCGATTCTTTTCTCTACTTTTCTAAATTGTAAGGGAGTGAGACAGGTTATCTGATAAACCCAGTTCTGATTTATCATAAAGATGAGTGAGGCAGAAGAATTAGATTTACTATAAAATGCTCAGATCATCATGCAGACCAAGATAGAAAACGATAGTCACAATGGGTGTAGATCACAGGGACCCCATACTTCAGGTCATATCTTCGCCCCATTGTTACACATGCATTCTACCTTTGCAGATTATCACACAGTGGGTTTATCCAGAATATTTTGTTGAATAAGAGCTTAAATAATACTGAAAAATGTTTCAAGAAGTCTGGCATAGACACTTTACCATCTTAGTTTTCCAGAGTTACTTACAAGAACGATGAGCACAAATACAGGATCTAAATGATTGATTATTTAAGATTATCTGCCACATCAACAGCTAAGGTTATTAGTGACGAATAAATTGTTAGACTGAAATATTAAAATATTTAAAACTTTAAAAATCAATCAATGAATGTCTTTATATCAATAAAGATGAATAACAATACAATGTTATAAATCAAAGCATAAATATTATGTTCTAATTGTATAAATTACTGCATAAATATTATGCACAATTAAATTTTATTAAAGATATTAGTCTCCCTTCGGAAATTAATAAGACTTACTATGTCCTCCCCTAATATATTTTCAAATTTATATGGGGGAGATAAGTTCATACGTCTTTGATCTGAGAATGTTGCACATCTTTCCTCTCTATGAGCGACTGTTAATGGCTCTTGGCATCTCTCACAAAAGTGCTTCACTTTTTGGCCTTTCTGATTATCTCACTCACTCCCACTGATGCCAACAGTCATCTAGTCATCTAGACTGCTGCAAGGAGGCATATAATTCTGCAGTGAAGATTAGGACTGCTGAAGAAATCTTCCTCCCGCTCACTGCTTGAAAACCCACACTATTTTCTGATTTTGAACCATCTGCATATATTGCATCTGATCCTTGGTACTTAGAAGTGTGCTGAAGGAATTTCCCCCTGATATCTGCTTTGGATCTCTCCCCCTTCCCTACTCCGACCAAATCCAGCTCGACTTGTTTGGTTCAAGGGAGAAATTGGGAGCCTTTTTCCATGTGAATGGCACTGTGCCCTCCCTAAAGATCCTATTGAATAGGTCCAACAGAAACTTTTAGGGGATCTCAGATCAGTGAGATATCATTTGGTACCGTAGAGCTGCAAAGCAGAGTCCATCATCCTCTTGGCAAGCTGTATGGAAGTTCTGCTGCAATCTTACTAAAGAATGATATTAATTATCGTTCCTGTTCAGGATGGAGGGTAGAGAATCAAGCAGTGTAAGATGCACCAGAGGACATCTGTCATGAATTTAGCTAACTCATTTTTTGTATGTGAGAATCGGATCTTTTTATAATTTACATCACTGGGGTGTCGTTTTGACATCAGTCCGCCATGGCACCTGAGGTCGACGGTACTGCCCGCTGATTTTGGGAATGGATGCTTATGCTGGAAGGTGAATCCGTGATGTTTAGTGATCAACAGGATCTAGAACACTGGAAACCATTCATAGATCTCTACATTACTGCAATTGATCTAAAAAGGTTTACATCTCTTCACCTCATTGGGTGGTATGCCATTCACCTTTTTTAATATTATTGGAAAAAGGTCGCTTCTACATAAGTCTTCCATGAAGAGCCAAGTAAACTCTAAATGTGGACCAGGTGAACCAAGAGACAGGTCAATATTGGAGATTTCCCACGAGAAGAAATGGATTGGGCAACTTTACATTGGAACAGGTTCAGGAATACTATGCCAGGGCAAAGGACAGACCTGAGCCTTTGGTTCAAGGGCATTCTGACCAGCAGCAGAGGTTGCTGTGGATGTGGAGGCAGCTAGAGCTGCCACTAATGAGGCCTTTGAAGCCTCGCCTGAAAATAATGAGGAATCTCCTCAATAGACCTCTCTCTCCTACTCCACTTCAGGTGGCAAAACTAACCAGAGGCAGTTTCTGGATCTGAAGCTTCCTTTGAGGAGGCAGTTGTGTAAGAAGTATCTTAGGATAAAGGATGATGGGAAGGAGATTGGACTAGAACCAATGCAAATCTTACCTGGCTGTGCAAAGGATGCTTTGCCCCTGGAAAACTTCCGTCCTCCTTATTACCAATAATTCCTATTTCAAACTTGTATCCTATACACTGCTATGAAGAACCTCTAAGGGCTTCTTTGCAATTATAATGGCAGACTGGACCTGGACAATTGTCATCTCCTTGATGACCTGTTGTACCACACTTGAAATGGCAAGAGTTGGCTCCATGTCGATAACACTGGCAGTGGAATTGAACACTTAAAGCTTTACCTTGGGGTGGTACCATGCCAACTCAACAGATTCTGGAAAAAAACTAGTATTTCAAAAGTTAGAAGAAGAGCTGGTGTAGATCTAAACCAACCTTGAACTTCTTTCGTTCCTCTAACAGTTAGTCCTCAGAATACCTTATTAGGTCTCGGGAAAAGACAATTCCCTTGCACAAATTGAGTGTTTTGTGAGGAGAACATGAAACTTGAGCCCCAGGAATGTCGCATACGGTTACTCTCATCTGGTGACGAAACCTCAACTATCAGGTTACCATCTTGGTGTGGGATGATCCGAGAATCATGTTGGCACACCTCAACTACCTTGCGATGCATTTCAAAATATCAAGATCCATGATGGACATGCCATCAATGGTCTTTACTACAAGATATTTCTTAAATGAGATACTTTAATATTTACCAGGTAAGATTTCCTTGACGGATTGAGGAGGACTTTTCTCCTCACCTGGTCTGGGAGCTCGGGAAGCATTTTAATTCCCATTTTTGCCCTTTGGAAGCTGGAAAGGTTCCAGAGTGACATGTCATGTTTCAGAGGGATTAACCAGGGGATTGCGTAAGTTGTAAAGGAGAGAGCCAGCTCTTTGTAAGTTTCTGGAAATCATTCAAATTTGAATTCTACATTACCCCCCCCCCCCCCCACCACCATGAAGTCCAATGAGAGGAAGCTATAGGTTGGGGCTCAAATGCACTCAGCAGCCACAGGGGTAAAGAGGAAATATCACCCAATGCTGATGGCAGTCGCGGGATCTATGCAATGTTTGACCCTTGCCATATTTAACCATACGATATATTTGACCGGGCCCTGATGAAGCCACCCGACTAACCAGAAAAGAGGACCAAAGAGGTGTGTTGCTAGATGCAGGGCACAGCGTGCAGCATCGCTCAACCTCCAGGACACCTGTCTCGCAACAATGCCACACTCGGCAAACATACGTGGGAGAGTTCTCCATGGTTCCAGATGGAATGAACCAAGGGTGAGTAACTTTATATTACTGTTTGCTTTGTATATATATATTTTTTTTCGCTGCGATGATCTATCGTTTCCTTGTATTTCGTGTTACATGGCAGTAGTACAGTAGTAGCATATCTTGTGTTTAATGTATATTGAGTAGAAGTTGACAATAGTATGGGACATCATAAGACAGGTATATTATAGATTATTATTATAGATTATTTTAGTTATCATCATCATTCATACAATTATTATGAAACTCATGATCACCATCATCACTGTTTCTATTGTTATTTTTGTTGTCATTATCAATGATATTATCATTGCTATCCTTAATAATTATATTGCTATTACTTATCATTAATATTACACCGTTATTGCCATCATTAAATGTAATATCTCTCATACTTCATTGTTTATTCAGAATTAGAACCTTATTGATTTATGAAATAAAGTTATATATTTTTATGTGTAACTGACTCTTGTATAATACTTGCAAGCTACTACAAGTGATGTACCGTTTATGAACCTGAAGCAAAAGGTATAATGCAGACCAGTGTAAAAATCCTGGTACTGCACCATCTCTCAGTTCCTTCCTGATGCCGTCGTAAGAGAGGAAATCGTATATTGGGCGGTAGGACGATGCTGGTCTTGGATTTTCGCTCTTTTAGATGTGGAAGAAATCTGACGAAGAGTCTATTTCAGGAAAAAAAGAAAAAAAAAAATGCAACTCACCCCGGGCTCTGGATTACTAGGATTCGCCTTCTCTCTGTTTCCCTGTTTCTCTGTCTCTCTGTTTCTCTGTCTCTCTGTTTCTCTGTTTCTCTGTTTCTCTCTGTCTCTCTGTTTCTCTCTGTCTCTCTGTCCCTCTCTGTCTCTCTGTTTCTCTGTCTCTCTGTTTCTCTGTCTCTCCATTTCTCTCTCTCTCTCTCTCTCTCAGCTAATTAGAAAACATGGATGTATGTATGTATGTGTGTGTGTATATATATATATAAACACACACACATACATCCATGTTTTCTAATTAGCTGACATTTAATACTTAGATTTATGCATACATGGAATTATATATATATATATAGATAGATAGATATATGAATATATATATACATACATATGTATATATATGCATGTATGTATGTGTGTGTGTGTCTGTTTATGTGTGTGTCTGTTTATGAGTGTGTGTGTGTGTGTGCGCGTGTGTGTGTGTGTGTGTGTGTGTGTATGTGTGTGTTTCTTTTTAGTACCCACCATTTTCTTTCTCGAAAGAGTTTGGGTTGAGTTGTTAGTTGTTTGTATAACTATACTATACCAACTTGAATACTACATGTATTTTTGAAGTAGTCGGAATTCCATTTTCTGAATTATCACTGACTTTTATTTGAGATTCACTGATGCTCTTTCTCATATCCCGCATAAGAAATGAAACTGCCACAAAGAGAAAGAAAAATAAACAATGGATGAGTTAGCATTTAATATCTATACATAATATTACAAAACTGGTGTTTTTGAATTACGAAACCTTTCACACAATATAACTGGTTACTAGAACGCCATTTTAAAACACAGTGTCGCAAGGTTATGGAGATCAATGAAAAAATAATAATAATATACGTTCCTTTTAGGAAATGGCCAGATTATTCTTAACAAATTCAGAAAGGCACTTCGGATCTAGTAGCCTCCAGGCTAGTACAGTGGTAACGTGTCGGCCTCTCATCCGAGGGGTCGGAAGTTGCAATTGTCGCCTGGAGGTTACTGCCGTGGCTGGGCACCACGGTGGGTAAGGACTAAGCTCATCCGAGTAAGCACCTGCTGACACACTGTTAGCGAATCGACATTAGTCGGCACAGGCCGGGCTCCCCCATAGCCCGGGCGAGGCTCAGCTTCGCATATCGGACTTATCCTTATCCTTATCGGATCTAGTATCAGGTGATTTCGTTCTAGTTCATCCAGAAGTATCATAAGAATAATCAGTAGAAGCGTAGATGAATATACGTAAGGTATATTTTTTTCAGAAACTGATGATAAGCAAGTTCTTGGAAAGCAATCACAAACAACCACAGGGTTGTAAATACTTCTGCAATAGCCATTTTATACAGTAATGATCGCTTAAATAACCTACGATTGTTTATTTAAGCCAATCTGACTTTAACCTATTAAACTGGTGCAGCGCAAGCCACTAAGAAAACACAAAGAGGAATCATCCTAAAATCGAACTGAGAATCTTACCCAAAACAACTGCCGACGTTTATTCTTGTGCTTGTTTTTGTTTACTACAACGTTGAATTTGTAATAATGTATATCTATGAATATCTATGACAATTCATTAGAGTTATTAGAGCACTAGATACTCATCTATGTGTAATGTCCTTGTGCGTCTGGCAGCGTCGGGAAAAAGCTGTTACTTTTGTCATTGAATGTGTAACTGTACATCATTCACCTGCAACAGAAGCTCTGGATAACTAGTTTTGCTTTAGTATTGAAACGAACTGTCGTTTCAATACTCATTATGTATAAGTACATGACATTGTGACCCAGCCTACGAGATGCGTGGGGATTTCTACGTTTCACTACATGGAGCGTGTCTCGTCAGACTTCCATTGTCTGGATATTACGAGGGAAGAAAGTTCTGCCAAGACAAAGGAAAAAGAGGGAAAATTAGTAAACCTGACAATAAAGATGTGTCTTGACGACGTATATAATTTCGAAGATAATAAAACTTAGAGATTAACCAGGCATTTTTGTAACAGGTTTTCGCCATCACCCAAACAGGTTCTGGGCAAATACCTTATGGGAGTTTGTGACTTTGATGCGTCTGTAATGAAAATATTGTTGATGGTGCGATGTGTGCATATATCAATATTTGACTGCCTAGCAGCAGGATTTTGCGACTTACAATATGCTGATGACGTGTAAGTTGTTAGATGTCTGCTTCAGATGCATTTGTAAGGCTTATAGCCTTTTCAGACAATGAAGTATTCGTCACAGCTGATGTCTGCTCCGAATTCTCTTGAACTTTTGAAGTCGGGGGATTCGATAACGTCCTGACAATGATTATATCCACATTACTAGATATGCATGGCGGACAAGGGACATCTGGTAGCTGCGTACTGCCTGTAATTCTTGAAACTGATTTTCTTACACCAGTAGTATTACTGGTGGAACCCGAGTCCATTTCGGTCTTCGTGGTTCTTTGTCTGTTCTCCACGCATCCTCTTACGAAACTGAATCGCGATATGAAGTTGCCACAGGGACGCAGAATCTAGGAGTTAACAGGAAGGATATCACTTTAGCTTAACTATGTTGAAATATAGCGAGGTGTATAATGAAAATTATATAACGAAAACATGTGCTCGCAGCACAAACAGAACGCACACACACACACACACACGCACACACACACACCACACACACACACACGCACGCATACACACACACACACACAAACACACATACACGCACACTATCTCTCTTTCTCTCTCTCTCACACACACACACACACATATATATATATAACAAAGCAGTCATAGGTATATCAACACTAATTGTTTTACGAGCCTATGCCTCACCATACAGCATATTCATTATCACTACTGTCACCATTAACAGCAGCATACCAGTCGACGGTTGTTTTTGGCGCAGGTAGAGACGAGGAAGATCCAGAGGCCTTGCAACTCAACGACCACTTCACACAATATTACCCTGTAGACATGCTGGAATTAGTTGATGGTGAAAATGATGGTGATGGGAAGATGCTGAGGAAAGCGATGGTGAGGATAATAGTGGTGGTGACGATGATGAAAGTGATGGTCGCAAGGATTGATGGTTGTGATGATGATGGTGAGGTTGATATTTTTGATGATGACGGGGAAAATGTAAGACCGAATAAGTAATAACAGTTTTGGCTGCAATTAGAACAGCTGTCAAGGAAAAAAGACAAATCTGCGATCTTTTGAATTATTTTACATAGAACAGTTCTGCTATGTAACTTATACTTATACGGCAAAGGATCTGTAATGTTTACACCACATATGCATATAAGTTGCCCTAAACACACACATCTCTATATATTGTTTTTGCTCACTCTGTCTCTCACTGCCTCTCTTCCTGTCTCACTCTTCCTCTCTCTCTCTCTCTCTAGAAAAGGGCTGTATCCTCACGTTACTCACCCGAAATGGCATTCATCAGTGTGTGTGAAAAGCTCCACACACCAAGCTATTCCCATCACCATAAATAGACGAATAAAGAGTTTGTACCTGCAGGAAAGAAGTTCAAATTAGTGTTGCTCTTAACTAGAAGAGAAAGAGAATGTGTTTATCACTAAGAAATAATGTTGTAGACTGATACCTTGTCAAATTAACTTAATTATTTACATGCTGACTATCAAGGTACCTTTACACACACATGTACCTTGTTGACCAAGAAGAGGGTAAACAACAACCGCTGTATTGGATAAAGACTGCTGAAAGAGATATAAATCTATTCAGTTGGGAGGTGTCTGCTAAGGTTATATGTATAATTGACTGTGGTCAGGTACTGTCCTTAAGATTTACTCGTCTTCCTTAGCTTGTGGTAAAAGAATTGGTCGCTTGAAATTTTAGGGTATATAATATGTATGAAGAGAAGATGAGAATAGATAGTATTAATTGTTTACAGATATTACAGTTACAGCCTTGCCTCACCCCTGAATTAACATGGAAATTGGACATGCCCCTACCACATTTTACAACACTTTCAGTATCGGTATATAGGCTTGCTATAGGCCAATAATCCTTGTTGGAATTCCCCTAAGTCTCAGAATCTCCCATAGCAATGCACTAAATCAAACGCCTTCTTGAGGTTGATGTAGGCTGCAAGCAACTCACATCGTCGTTCCACAATTACTGGAAGCACTAGGATTTGGGCTATTGCAGACTTGAATCCAGACTGCTCTGGTCTCTGCTGCCTTAGTAGATGGTCGTGGATCCGTTTCAGAAGAATGTGGGCGAAAACCTTGCCCAGTGTAATGAGCAATGTAATACCATGGTAGTTACTACAGTCCCAACGATTCCCTTTCCCCTTCCAGAGAGGGATGACCATGCCCCTCAACAGGTCAGGGGGAATGGTACCAGACTGCATGCAAGCCCCGAGCCATAGGTTCACCCCCAGTCTTTAGCAATTCAGCAGGGATATCACATATGACTGCTGCTTTCCCACACTTCAGCTTGGAAATCGCCATCCTAACCTCAGTTAGGTTAGGAGGTTCCTCGCTGATGGGTGATATTGTGATACCACTAGCATCCAAGCTAACTGTTGGAGGGTCTACCTGATACAGCTGCTCAAAATACTCAGCCCAACGTTCACGATCCCCAACATGATCTGAGATGATCTGTCCATCCACTGAGTTGACTGAAGTCATCTGTGAGGAGGACTTGGAGATCAGTTTTCTCAGGGCTTGGTTGGAGCATACAAAGCGGTGTTACCTCAACTACTGAATGTTGAAGTTTGCTGGAGATGGCTATGGCTTCTCCCTTTGCCACGGCCTGACCAGTAGGTGTATCCACCCATACTGAATGTGAATAACTCTCATTCCCATCTTGCGCCCCAACATTTACCCTCCCAACAGGACCTACAGCCCGCCTTACTTGCTGGGGGGGAGGGACAGCACCCCTCCCCCAGCTTATCCATTTATTTCTGTAGCTGCCAGTGAGTTATCTGGGGGAGGAGGGCTGACAAGGCCCAACTCCTCCAAGCCGCCCATTAACCCCAGGGTGGCTGAGGGGCAAGAGTTGGTACGGAGCCAGGGCGTGTCCACACACCGGTGGACCATTGCCCCGTACCTCTGGGGGCTCCTGCTGCTTCAAGGTCCCCCACAGTTTAGCCTGGGACTGCATGGTGCCCAGTTTCTATCAGTGGCCACTAGGAGGCACTGCAGAAGTCTCGATGATGTAGAGGCTGTGGACTGGCAGAGCTGCTCCCTTTTTCACACTAGGGTAGCCAGCAGAAGGCATGCAAGCACTAAACACTATCGAGGCTACCACACCATCGCACCATCACCCTGAGCATGAAGCACCCACCCACAGTTATTTGGTGAATAATAATTGAAAAGGCTTTATCGCAACTTGTATAAATTTTGTATCTACCAATATTAGCATGCATTCAAACAAGTTCTGTCCCTTACGTGGCCACACATATACAACCTATAGCAGATTACTATTTCAGAATATAACAGGAAATATAATCAGTAAACAGAGGTATTGCCAAACCAATCTCAAATTATATAAAGGGCTACTTATTAAATGGCATTCATTTATATATATATATATAAGTAAAAGTCACATGAAAAGTACACTACTTACCTGTCTTTCAGCCTTCTATTAGTCTGCAGGCCTTGGTCTATATCTTGAAACTGCTTCACCAAAAGGATCATCAGATGGACAAAGAAATACAGGTTCACCTATAGAACCACACGGTGGTTTCATCTGTAATCCGGTTTCGGGAAATTATGTTTATACGTATGTATGTATGTATATATATATTTAGATAAACACACACATACATACATACACATACACACACGCACACACACACATATATATATTTATGGATACATAGATAGATAGATAAATGGGTAGATGTGTACATGTATATATATATATACATATATATCAATCAATCATTTGGAGCTAACGCCGGCAGGGGCGCATAGCCGCATTCACCCTTCATTTCCACCTGCGAGGGTCTCTCATGGCGAGCTGCCAGGCAGGGGCCCGGCCCATCTGTAGTTCCTTACGACGGGTTTGATCGATCTTCCCAAGTCACGACCTTCTTGGCCGTCCCACAGGCCTCCTCCACCCGGGATTGTCTCGGACAGAGACAACTTGGTGGTTAGGGTCATCCTGCGGGAGTTGAGCCGGTCTCACGTTGGTTGGACACATGGTCCCGCCAACTGTACCCCATGATCTGGTGCAAGGATCTATTACAAAAGAATCAAGACAAAATTCCAAGGCATAAGATAGCGTCCAAGTTTCACTACCATATAGTAAAACTGGCAGTATCAGGGCCTTGAAAACACATAGCTTGGTCCTTCCGCACAGGTACCGGCATCTCCAAATACTCTTGTCGAGAGATTTCATGACCTCTGCTGCCAGCCCAATCCATCTACTGATTTCCTGGTCTGACAGCCCAAAGTCTTGAACTGCACTACCGAGGTATATAAAGCTCTTGATAACTTCAATTTTTTTGCCGCAAGCACGTACCAACTGCACAGGGTCTCCTAGTAGGCCTCCAAAATCCTGGATCTTGGTCTTGATCCAAGAGACCTCTAGTCCCAGGGGCTTCGCTTCATTGCTAAATGCATCAAGAGCCGCCACTAGGGTTTCCAGAGATTCAGATAAAATGGCAACATCATCAGCAAAGTCAAGGTCAGTAACCTTGATATTGGCCAGAGTTGCTCCACAGTGACTTTGGATAGTAGCTCTACCCAGTATCCAATCCTTGCAAGTGTTGAAAAGTGTTTGTGCAAGAACACAGCCCTGCCTCACACCTGAACTAACGGGGAAGAAGCTCGACAGGCCCCCACCACACTTTACAGCACTTTCAGTGCCTGTATATAGGTTTGCTATTAATCCAATAATCCTTGTTGAAATTCCTCTTAGTCTCAGGATTTCCAGAGAGGGATGACCACACTCCTCAGCAGGTCAGGAGGAATGGTACCAGTCTGCCAGATGGTAGACAGGACAGCGTGCAAGCCTCTTGCCATAGATTCTCCACCAACCTTTAACAGTTCAGCTGGGATCCCACAAACGCCTGCTGCTTTATCACCCTCCAATTTGGAAATCGCCCCCCTGACTTCAGTCCGGGAGGGTCAATCCTTGCTGATGGGTGGTTCTGACCTCCTCTGCAAGATTCCTGATAAGCTGTTCCATATCCATTCTCAGCAGTCCTGCGCACCAGGGAACAGTGCAAGTTGCAATCCACTGACAATCGAGCCGCACGACAAGCATCTGTGACTTCCAGTATCTCCTGCAAGATGAAATTCTGTGTTGCCCCTTGGTATTCACCAAGAGATAGCCCTAGCAAATCCCCGGGCACACTCACTCTCCCTCAATCTATCCACATGAAGCACCCTAAGGTGTTCATTGAAGCAACAGGGGGTTCTAAAGTGCACCCGGAGAGTAGCCACAACTAATCTATGATCAGTTTCACGGAACTCGGTGCTCCGACACACCCTGCAGTTCTGGAGGATCCTCCATCGAGTGCTAGCGAAGATGTGGTCGATCTCCTTGGCCACATTACCCATATCGCTGTACCAAGCCCAACGATGCGGGTCAGAATGCTGATACCAGGAGCCAGAAATCCTCAATTTCTGGGACCTAGCAAGGTCACGGAAAAGGAGGCTATTCTCACTACCCTCATCAGCTCCTGAGCCATGAGGACTGACAGACATATCGTAGCCAGCTCGATCGCAGCCAGACAACGCATTAAAGTCACCCCAAACAATATGAATATAACACTGAGGACAGCTGTCTGTCACAGATGCAAGTTTGGCGTAAAATATCTCTTTCACCTCAAATTTATACACATCCGTAGGAAGTGTACATAGCAATAAGAG